AAAGGTGGTGTCTATTTACTTGTGACCATGCTGTGTACATCTTTGGATTTTCTTCATGGATGAGTTCAATCTACACAATTACATGTAACATGTACAGAATTTGAAAAAAAGTAATCAGTCCTTTTGTTTGACATGTGCAATTGCACATGCACACTTATTCACACATTCAAATCTAATTACACACATTATTTGTTACATATGTGAAAGGCTATATTCATTGGCACATAACATTACAATTTTTAGTGCTTGTGAAGAAAATAGAAATATATTATGAAATTGAATGGAAAACATTTCAAAGTTATGGGAAATCAGAGATTACTGGATAAAAAAACCATAGAAGGAAGGAAGGATAACATACAAGATATTCCTGATGATTACGATGAGGATCTTGTACATAGCAAATAAGAAAATAAATTAAAAACCATTTGAAGATAGTAGTGTTGTGTAGTCTATTCTTTTTTATATTTTGATAAAATCAATAACTCTGCTAATATATCAAAAGGTTAAAATTCAAGGTACTTCTGTAAATAAATAATTGAAACACAGAAACAATCAACACTTTTTAAGTAAACAATTTAAAAACTTTATTCTAAGGCTTAAAAAAAAGGTAATTGTTTAAATATATTAATTACTCTGCTAATTTAATACAAATATCTGTAATTTTAAAAAGTAAATGGTTTCTTGCTTTTTCCCTGTCATTACATATCACTTTAAGCACCCACATAATTCACAATCACAAATTCAGTTGCAAGTATGAATTGCCGCATGTGGTTTTTCTCATGAAAAGGCCTGAGTAACGATGGCTACAAATGAGAATAACTTTTTTTCTAAATGTAAGTGTTGAATGATGTCTTCACAAATTCACCCAGAATTACAATGGTTGTTTCATGAATGGAATTTGTGTAAATATCCTTTCAAGTAATGTTATGAAATTAAACTATAATTGTATAATTCAGCAGAAGGATAAAAGTTCAAGAATGTACTTTTTAATGAACCCTGCCTTGCCAAAATATCTAAAGTCAACTAGAACATGTGACATGAACAACCTAGCAAATACACCAACAACTGTATACACAGTATTATTATCAATGTGTAAAGACAATGTTAAAAGATCATGAATTTAGTGAATTTGAGAGATAAGGCTTTACAGACTGTTGAAAGTCAGAAAAAGAGATGGAATGCTTGGTCACACACAATCTACTACACATAACATCATTCAATGGCACCAGGAACTTGGTATAACATCTTAAAAATTATAATGTTCCAAATGTGCTATTGGTGTGTGACGAAGATTCACTTTTACATTTGTGAAAGAATGTGAAAAACTAACTTTACAACAAATGTGTAATAAACTTACTTCATCCACCGTAGCCCTGTGTGAATGCCATCATCTCTGAGGTCTCATGCTCTCCATGAGTAGTATGGCTAATGTTAATGAGCAGGAATATCCAAAAATGTTTATCACACACAAGAATGCTTGTATAATTTTGCTTGGTGTAAAGCCCCAAAACAATAGAATCTTCATAGTTGATCCTGACATTTGTAAAGCAATCAAAGCCATTTCATCAAGTAATGGGTAAATTCTTTTCTGGATGTATGCAAGTGGTAAATTTGATGTGATTGAGTTGCACCAATTATGAAAAACTGTGAGTTGAGTTTTATGGTGTGAGATAGATTCTGTGAATTATATATGGAGTATACCTGTCAATTATCCACACACATCTACAAGTAAATGCTCATCGATATCAGAAACTCAATATATTATTCCAGGAGGATAATGCTCCATACCACAAAACAAGTATGACATGCTTAGTGTGCTTAGTTTCAAAGTCAAAATACGAACATCTTAATAATGGCTTGCTCAGTACCAAAATTTTTAATCCTTTCTTGTAGGATAATGAACACAAATTTCAATTTGAAAGGTCGGACAAGTCATCCAGCCATATTCAACTGGTTAAACTTTTAAGACAATTCATACAACTTGCATCTAGTCAAAAACACCTTAGGTGTGAAAAAAAAAAGGTGTGGCCAAAAAAGGATTGAGTGTGCAGCATAAAGGAATGAAATCAAAGTTGGCAACCAAACTGGTAGCTACATTTATAGCATTGATAAGAATCTTAGAGCAAATATTCATTCATTAGTTAACTAAGCTGCATTTTTGTTGAACTTGGGGCATGATGGTGGAAAACAAAATATATGGTGGTAGTTTTTCCTCTATAAAACAGAGTTAATAACTTCCTTTATAATAACATCAAGGAAACTAGATTAACAGTTTCTTGTCATCACCCCCATGCACTCGGCAAAGCCGCATCAAGCATCATTATTTAAGCTAATTGCTTAAGTTAATATCATTTGATGTTAAATGCTCTTTAATTAGGAGAAGTTCATAAAATTTAGCTAATTTGTGCTTAAAAGTTGGCAATGGATAATGACTAATAACTATTCACCTGTATGATTCATTTGAAAATTTGAGCTAAAAACTGCTAATCTAGTTTGCTTGGCTTACCCAATACTTATGTACCTGCTCTTGCTTTTACCCTATAGTTCTGCTGCCATGAATCAGCCACCTTTAATCCGATTGACAAAAATTAAAAATGGTCCACCTTTACTCTTAGGTGAAGCTGCAGTAAAAATGTCAGACAGATAGCTCAAGTGATTTTTTTGCATAGGCATGTGCAAAGCCTTTGGTCAAATGTGAGCAGTTTTTGTTGAATAACTTTGCACATGTGGCTTATATTTAGAACAAATTTGACACATAATTATAGATTGTAAAGATCTATCAATGTATCAAATTTGAAAAAAAATCCATAAAAGTTAAGTAGGTTTTTATATTAAATAAAATTTTCATACTTTCTGTGCAAAGAAAAAAGAATGAAATTCAATCAAAATTGTAGATTTTATATCTTGTGTATTTCTCAATGCCTTGAAATTTGGTATTTGAGGCAAGGGTCCAGTGATAATTTGGATTACCACAGTCTGAGCTACAGGAAGTGGAAAATTGCTAAACTACCGCTTTTAGTGTCCTGCAGGTTATTTTGGGCACACAGTACACTACCATGTGTCTTGATCAATTATTGTTAAAATCTTGTTAAAAATGTGTTGCAAAATAGCTGCAGTTATTCAAGCCAAGGGCAGTTTAACAATGTATCAGTACAGTAATCACTGAAAATACTCTATGAATATATATCTAGATAATCTTGTCATGGCACTATATGCGTGTGTACTTACTTAATATTTTTTAACACAGTACAGTCAAATTCAATGATGTTACATAACCATACTACATATGAAAAAGAGTGATCAGAAATTAACATTAAATTCAAACTATGGAAATCAAAATAATATTGACAAGACTGGATTTCTGTAATGGGCATATATTTGAAACTTTACATGTACTACTACAAATACATATTACCCTCATATTGCTCAAAATAATCTAGTCTGGCTGTTTAATTATCACATTCCAGCACCTACTTAATATATAAATTTAACCTTCAACTGTTTGTAGTTAAGCACAAAGCTACACAATGGGTTATCTGTGCTCTGCC